TTAATCGCGCATGCGCGATTCACCGCGAGCGCCCAGGACTGCCATTTTTATTATTGGCGAACATAGAGCTACTCGCGTCCTCTTACCTTTGCGCATGTTTGGGCGTCCTGAGCCTCCGAACCGGAAATCTGACGCCAGAATATGAAGTTTCACCTGCAGGGACAGGCATTGCAGCAGATCTCAACAGGATTCCGAAGGAACACTAACTCCTCTGGCTACCAGGGGTCCCCAGCTACCAAGAGGTGGGTTGCATGTACCTGGTCTTCCTACAGAGGGAGGCTGACCTCTTAGAGAATAAAAGGCTGAAAGACATAGCCAGGTGAGCTTAAAACAAAGTCTTTTGTAATAATACAAGCTGTCCTGTCTGGCTAGAAGGACAGGAAAAAAGACTGAGGAACCTAGTATTCTGGGATCTCTTATACCTCAGGGATAATTGAATTCTTTAATTGGTATTTCTGTCCTATTGGCTGGAGGGAGGAGCTAACCCATATGTTAAATGCTGCCATGATTAACCAGGAAAAGGACATTACCCTTTTCCAAGATAATTTGTTCAGTGGTTAGACAGGCTAGTCATGCTCTGCTGATATTTTTAGCAGGATGTAAATCAATGCAGGACAGTTAACTTAAATATATTAAAAGAACATTTAATTGAAACAGAGCAGCGAATTTCCAGAGTTTGAACCAGAAGTCATAGGGAAAGATGGAAAATCTGTACTTCAGCTCTCATTTTCCTAATAGTCTGAGTCTAATAACTTGCACAACCATGATTAAACATTGTTAAACTGTGATGTACCAATGAATCATAGGCCATATAGCACCTGTTCCACTCAGCTCCTGGTGAGAGGTGGTTGGCCTACATTTGGATCCTTTTAGACCATTCTGTACAGCTGTCCTCTCTCAGGAAATTGGCCCTGTCAACCCTTACAGGTATTATTACTCATATACTCTATTTAGTAAAAGCAATATCTATCTAAAGTTGGGGTATATTTAAAATTGTCATATGTCTGTGTATAAGATGTGATCATTCCGGATTATGATAAATGTAATGAAATATTAGATATATAATTATATATAGATATATCAAATAGACTATTTTTTTTCCAATTAACTAAACATTGATGTAATGCATAACATGTGTATAGATGCAACATGAAATTGTACATACAAACTTGTACTTAAATATGCTATTCAGTTTTTCAGTAAATAAACTAAGTGTATCAAAAACTGTTTTAATAATCAGACTCTATCATTTTCATTATGTTATTTCACTTAATGTCACCTCAGCTTAAAGACGATAAGTCAAAATTTAAATATGCTGAAAATATATAACCAAGGACTGACCTTCTGATGTCCTGTCCTGTTGATGAGGCTTCAAATATGCTTTTCTTTTCCCTTACATCAAACAAGGAAATAAAAGTACCCTCATATTTTAATTTAAAGAAGCATTTTGCACACCCTTGAGATAAAAATTGAAGCATATGATGTGTGTTGACATTAACTTTAAAATATTTGGAGAATTAAATAGTCACAGGTTAACAATTAAAATATTTGAATGTACAAAAAATATAAAAAGAAATATGGAGTACTCAGACATTCTATTGAGTCAATGATTTTTCACTTAGCAAACTGATATTTAATCTAACATTTATACAGTTACTATTGATATATATATCACTGTGAGTACCAGTAAAAATAAAGTAAAATATATTCACAGTAACAGAAAATCAGCAAAAATGCAATATATGCAAGTATATGTAATTGATAAGATACTTGAATTACTGATTAATTTAATAAATGCTAACATTTAAAAGAAAAATCATTTGCATACCTTGCAAATAACAAAATGAAGTTAAAATTGCATGATTAATAGATTACATAGAAGGATAAAAATTACAGTTACATGGGGTAGATTTACATTTATTTATTTATACTTTGCAGAAATACCAAGGCTGTAGAGTTTTAATGTTCAGATGGTAACCTCAATGTTTCATACAGGTTCAAATACATAAATAAAGTAATGATACAACAGAAATGTTGTCCACTTTTACAACATAACTGACAGTATAATTCAAATTGAAACTCAACAGTGTGTCAAGACTTAGTATGCACATTAAACAGACCTAAGAGTCTGCTAAAAGAAGAATAACTATGGTATCTTCTCTTTTTGAGTGGTCAGATGCTTTATAATTCTCTTGTAGTTCTGGTTTTCTTGTCTGGGTGCCTGCTATTATATCTAGACTTATTTCCCATTCTTCCTGTTCACTTCTATATTTTTATTACTAAAAAGTTTTATGTAAGGTTTTTAAAGGTTTAACCTATCGCTTTGGTTATGGCAACACTCATACAGATGGAATAACCTAGCATTGATTCACATTTGGCTGATGTTCTCATAGATGATTTATATTTACCCAAGTTCAAATAGGGATTATTTTTTGTTTATGCGTTCTATAATTTATTATTTTTTTTTTAAGTTCCAGAGATATTTTTTTCACAAAATATATGTATTACATTTAAATGTTCTTAAATGCCACATCCTCCTTACCTCTCATCAATGTCGTCAGCATTTAAACAGATTGACTTAGAGAAGACCTTTCAACATTGTTGCATATTGCACATAACAACAAATTCAGAATTATTTTTAAAAGTACAAAATAGATTGTCTGAGCTCTGACCGCGGAACCCAAACAAATACCGCACAAGACCCTAAAATTGAGCTACCCACGACAGGGGAACCCCCCACGAGACAGTGGACACACCATGGGTCGCAAATCAAAGAAGATGAGGCCAGAAAAGACACGGATGGGCTTCGATATCGGAGACATGCTGCGGCAGACCATCGGAGGGACGAGGACAGCGAGATCCCACTTGCAAATCCAAGAGTAGCTCAACAGCACACTGACCGAGACAACGCACCAGTGACAGCGGCGGTGCTGAAAGCACTCCTGGCAGATCTCCAGAGGAACATCCAGACGGACGTTGCATTAATCCGCACGGATTTACAAGGCCTTACGGGCAGACTGGCGGTGGTGGAAGCCGCGTCCGATACCCAGGCCCAACAGATTGCCACACTTCAAGAGGCGGTTCGGGGGCTCCAGAGCCACAGCGAACAAGCTGAACGCCACTTCTCCGCAATGGAAGATTGGAGGTGGAAAAATAATATAAAAATTAGGGGCATCTCGGACGAAGTGCCGACAGCGGAATTACCGCACCTCCTGAGGTGCCTACTAAGCACTATACTTACCCCAAGACAGGGCAAGCTGGTGGGAATAGAGGGGTTCTTTCGTGTACCCAAATCCCCAAGAGCACCGGACGACGTACCGAGGGACATGGTCATCCAGCTAATGAGCGGGAAAGATAAAGCAGCGGTGATGGCGGCGGTCAGGGACCACGCGCCATATAAATTTGAAGACATGTCTCTCACCTTCTTCCCGGACCTATCAGGGAGTACGCTAGCTTGGAGAAGATCGCTCCGACCCTTCACATCACTCCTCCGACAGAAGCAGATTCCTTACCAATGGCGGCAATCCCGCACCCTAATGATCCAGCACGGGGAAACAAGCTCCAGATCAGAGATCTCGAAGAGGCAAAGGCCACACTACCCACCCTCAACCTACCTCTTGACGCCCTGTCATCTACCAGAGCGGAGGCGGCAGGCCGCACTCCACACCAATGGAACCTGGACGCAGTGATCCCGTTCTCCCCCCGACGGCAGAACAAGGGAGGAACTGCAGCGGCCATCACCTGAGGACATTGAATAGATGGACAGCCCGGTAATACCACGTCCTTAGGCTTAGCCTAGGGCACCAGTTTATATAGTTTATAATGTTTAAAATGCTAATTTTTCTGCTCCCTGCTATACACATCTTGGCCCCATGTTCCAACCTAACCCTACTGACATGTACACAGAAGAGAGCTCTTCCACAAACAGCCCACCTGAAGCTCGACAGCTCCCCTTGAGCCACTTACACTACCCCCCACACACACCTCCTAAGACCGAAGTACCTATAACACTGCTTTGACAAGTACCGGAGGCAGCCAGCAACGAACCTCTAACACACTCCGGCACACACACTAGCTGGGACACACTTCAGAACGCAGCGCACCACCACTGTAACCCAGTTAGATCTAGGCCACAACACACCAGAGATGCATAAGAGTGCCTGGAGCTGGAGGGCCAACCATATACCTACCAACACACATAGTCTGTGTCACACTATACCCCACCTTAACGACAACACTTAAAAATTAAAAATGTGTCCTGTAAATGCTTGCCATGATACTGTTGTTCCTTGACTGCATTACTATAGTTAGGTATAGCTATCGTGGCATACCGAACTTGTATGTTAATATGTGCACAACATAAATAAAGAATAAAAAAATAAATAAATAAATAAAAAAAAAAAATTTCTGAAACATACAGAAATACCAATCTTAGAATAAACTACTAACTACAATGTTTGTACATAGGTGTAATACCCATGGGTAGGAGAGTCTGTTGCTTTGATCATACAAAGCATCTATTTTATATACGACACTGTAGGCCGCTATTACATACTGCAAAGAAGCTCTGTAGCATGATATGGGCTGTCCCTTTCCCTCTCAGGCTGCTAGAATCATCCACACAGTTTGACCTACAAAGGCATCTCTACAGTATGAGGGAGATGTGGAATTTGCAGTGCCTGAGCTGAATAGAGATATTTGTTTCTATGAAAAAAATTGCAAAGTGCAATTGTAAGCTGCTATGGAAGCCATATAAAAAGCACCATAACAAATGATAAAAATGTAATGTACCATTATAGCAGCACTAACATTATATATATTGGGAATTTCAAAATAGTATGATATCATTACAACAAAAGATAATTTGTCGTATGCGTACAATGGGGCTGGAAGGGTAATATATGCTCAAAATTACTGTGACACCACCACCACTTAAAACTTGCCTTTTCTCTGCTATTGCAAGAAATGATAGTATCCATTACTGTTAGAAAGTAAATATGACCCAAAACATGCAAGATTCAGAGATGGTACCTTCAGCATGCGAATCTCACGCAGAGCTATCTTTTTAATAACCAGATCATCCTCAGACTCAACAAATTTCTTGATGGCAACCACTTGCCCACTCTCTTTATTGCGACATTTAAACACCACCCCGAACGAGCCTTCTCCAATTTTTGCCAGCTTCTCATATTTCTCCATTTCTGGACTAGGAAAAGGCACAAGTAATATCTTGATTCGATATCAGCCAAACCAAATGCTATCAGTAACGGAAAACACTATCCGAGGGGTGAATGTGAGACCTGTAACGAAATAAAGGAAACTTTACACGGTTTCAGGACACAAAGTACTGGCATTTGCATATCATGCATTTAGAATTGATACACATGAACATTTAGCGGCTTATTCATTAAAGTCCTAATTGTAGTAAAAAGTACAAAATAAGCAACTTTGATAACAAATGGGGAAGTAAATCAAAAATGTTTTTCATTGTTTTACAGTAGCAGACAAAAGGGATAGAGCTGTCTCAGTTGCTTTTGTATTTTATGGTACCTGTTTTGTTTGAACTAGCGATGAAATAATGCTGACGATGTGCAAATAGATATTCAGGAATAAGTTGTGCATCAGTAAGTATATAAAAAAAAAGCAAACTATAGTGTTTATTTGTGATACTTCTTTAATAGCTGTTAACAGATTGCATAATAAAATCCACCAGAAAATTAAACAGAGATCAGTTCAAGGCTAAGTCTTGATAACTGTTTTTTTACTTTTCTCCATTGATTGTAAAAATGCAGGAGTTGAAATGGCGCCTCTAATATTTTTGGAAAGTACAAATATGTTATTAAAGGGTTCTCCCCTTTTTAGGATTAGAATTCATCCAAAAGTTTTTAATTTACTACTGGGGACATAAAACATAATGTGGGAATGTTGACTGAAGTATCACTCTCTAAACAGAGATGACACAATTTCCAAGTTTCTGAAAAATGTTAGTAAATGTTAATACATGTAATCTAAAGGTATGGAATGTATCTACTCAACAGTGGGTATAGTGCATAAATTTAAAATTCATCAAAACTGTTTAGGCTAAAGTAGCCAATCTGAAAAGCTGAGTTTATCCATATTTCTAGTTTGACTTATTTTGGCATAACATTTACCATTCCCTGATCAATTATCCTCAATTATCGGATTTGTAAATCCATTTTTATGTGTTTATCATATTGCTTAGTTCATGATGACCTGATTCGATTTCCTTTATTTCATTCAGCTCCATCGGTTTGATAAAACTCCCCAGGTTAAGCAGTCTCTCATTTACCTCCTTTAAAGTTATGCATAGAAAAAAACTATTTTCACAGATAATGGAAACATATTTGCAGAGAGCATTAGTGTACTTCATATCATGTTAAATAACAAGGAATATATAATGCATCATTTGAAGCCAAGTTGGATTTGTACCTGACATGTTCTTTTAGAAGTCTACCACACAGTTAAATCAATCACAAGTTACAATAGAACAGGCCAAAAGAAGTTGCAATGCCAGCCATCAAAATTAATTTATTTGTATGTTAAATGTCAAAGACTTACTCAAAACAAAAATTGATGTCGGGGAAAGGGAGGAGGTGGGGTTTGGGGAGGGGCAGAGTGCCACCATTGGTCATCCATCATCAGCATGCTATGTGCTGATAATAGATACCTCTTATGCACAGAATTAACACTAGCACCTGTAACACTCATTCTGAGCTGCTATTGATTGTGCTGAAGGTAAAATTACACCAGCAGCATACTTCATTATTTCTGCATGTGCATTGGTTCATACAGTCACCAAGCAGCACAACCACTTCAGGGCAATGATATTGTCATGTCACTTGGAGTTAACCTTTAACCTTTAACCTTTATTGGTTTCTCATTCATTTAGTTGAGACTAAGTTTATAACTCTTGACTTAGCAGATGGATATGCTGATCCTCTGGCTAGTGGGCATTAAATGTAGACTCTATCTTTAGAGTCGTTTACCTCCGTGTGTGGTTTTATGTATTGTTTTCGTTGCCATTCTGAGAGATACATGGAGCACGTGCAAATGCTAGTCTTTGTGGTGAATAGAGCTCATTGACGTTTAAACACCCACTAGAAATTGCATTGTATTTTTTTTTACCTATCACCAAGGAATTTAGGCCTTAATTTAATATTTTTGGAAAAGCTTTTCAAATGATTTACTGTTTTGAAAAATAGTTTACCGTTTCAATATGTTGATGATTTGATATTTAGATTTTTTTTATAAATATGATATATTTTTATATGTTAAATTTTAGAAACAAATTATTTTAAAAGATTGTCCAAAAATATAAAATACTTTGAAAAACTTATCCAAAAATATAAAATACTTTGAAAAACTTATCCAAATGTTTTAAATCAAGGCCATAATAAGCTGGGCCTGTGAGCCAAAAATGTCATTATAAAGTTAGTTTCAGGAGATGTCTCGACAGAGAGAATGACATCTGCCTAAAAGACATGTTAGGAAGAGCGAGTGATACTTTCCAGTCCAGTATGTAGAGGGCAAGACCTGTGAAGAATACAGAGGTCCTTGGATGCACAAGAAAAACATATGATATAGATAGACAGGCATGTAGTCCAAACTATGGTAAAGTCACTCCTTTTCACACTACAGGTGGTGTTGCATTACCTTGAATGATTTTAAAACAATACATTTTGTTTTATGCTTTTCTCTATTACATTATAGGGAAAATAGAGTCTCATTAGCAAATGTTAAATATTCCTGGATAATTTTAACATCAACACAAGAGTTATATTAGTAAGCTACAAATATATATCAGAACACAAATTAAGATCAAGGTTTTAATTGTGGCAAATCCTAAATGTGTTATATTACCAATTGCATTACAATTTCAATTGGAAAATGCAGTTTAGTATTAACACTTTACATTTATATCCTAGATACAAAAGTGCAGAAAAGCAAGATTGTCTTAGACCAAGGCAGCAATTAATACGTAGGTAGAAACATGTAAAGGAAAACAGTATATTGTTGATATTAAAAAAAAAAAACAGAGTAAAATCCAGGACACTTGAGATCTCTCAATTTTTATCCAGATGTCCTATTTAATCTATGGCAGCTTGCCAGGAACATAAATCAAAGTTAAAAATATCTTTTATAGATCTGCCCGTTTTCTACTGTGTATTGAAATTAACTTTCTATTTTCTCAAATTCTCTTATTTCAATGTTCTTTTTAAATGCAAATATAAAATGGCGTAAGCAATTCCCCGCAATCTATAATATATCATACTTGTGAGGATAATTTGCTTTGCTGAATGTGTTCCTTCAAAAAGAAAAGTTGTTTATTTATTTTTTTATTCATACTTTCAATGGTAAAAAAATTCACTTCACTGGTTAAGCTCACCTGTCTAGATATAAAAGGTTCTCTATTGAGCTCATTGTTGAAAGAGCACTCTCTGTGTTCTTCAAAGATACGAAAACTAAAGAAGAATGCAAGAAATATAATTCTGAATTTCTTCAGATTATTGTAACATACTTTAATCATGAAGCAAAACTATGACAAAAAAAAGTTTTGTGCATTTCTGAATTAATTAGTGAAATTACTATATATATTACACATATATACACACACACCCAATAAATATTATTAATATGCAATAACATCCATAAATAGCAAAGTTATCTGCCCTCAAATATACATCACTGTTCATTAAAAAATAATAATAATTTGATTGCATGTACTTTGCTAAAGGAAGCAAAAAGAGGCAAAGAGCGGGGGGGAAATGTAGGCTTTTCCTAACTTACTCTCTTGGTTTCTTCAATTTTCAATGCAAAGCAATAGATCAACTGGAAGGGACAAAGACGATTTACTGATAAAATTCAAAATGTAATTTCTGTGTTAATTGCTGGAACGGATACAGATATTGACAGAATCCATCTCTCTTCTGTATCTCAGCCCATGCACATCAGGGTGAAATGCACATGGATGTCACATTTATTTCAACAAGCTTGATTGAAGACATGTTTAAGCTTCTTTTACCTTTTGCCTTCTCTATTCTAGTTCATGATGTGGTCTTTAAAGAGGGTATGGGCCCTGCATCTGTCCTTCTCATGACGAACAAGACTACATAATGCTTTTAATGTTAATGGGGCCTAGGCAAAGCTATTCTCGTGGGACCATCCAGGAAACCTCACAGCTCACATTTTCCTTGTTTCCATTTAAGCTGGTATTCTCATCTGTCCATATAATTATTCCTTTCATTTTACTGCCTATCGTTATTTTAGCTCTATCCTTACCACCAAGCACATGCTCTTTCCATTTCAGCACTCTATACTTTATTTTGATATCAATACATATTACACAGATTATGCTCTCTCCTTCTTAGCAATCTCTACTAATTTTAATATCAGTACCCCTAAGATCCATTCTATACTTTTCATCTCTGTACCTTTTCCATTAGTATTTTTTCCAAATAACAACTTTTTATACATCACTTCATAAGAGGAAACAGTATGGGTACTGTGAGAGACCGCCTGGCGCCCAGATCAGGTACCTCCGTCAATCGCTGCTTCCTAGTACTTGCGAGTACCATAAGCACTGCTCTGGAGCACCATAACCACCGTAAACCCCACTGCTGGCTTGAACCTCTCAGTCGCCGGCCCATGCTTTGAAGGCATGTCATTTTCGACTAGTGCCCATCTTTAGCATGGGTGAGATAGCGGGGAGCTGTGACAATTAGATAATTGAAAAAAAAAAAATAATAAAAAAAGAATCAGTTTTGCAAACTCTAATATGAAATGTTAGTGTTAACTTAAATGTTACGGTGTTCTACCACTGTTTAATTGTATTAATTTTCTAAAGTAACATGTCTGGGTTGATGCTATCCTTGGTGATACATATTAGAATAATATGAGTGCCAGCAAAGCAGTATCAGTTTTGGCATGCAACATTCAATTACATTGTGTTATGGCATGATTAGAGGAATTAAGGCTCAAAAATATGAGTACATCTGTTATTTAATGCTTGACAGTTTTGCAAAACACCAGTTATGCATTGACAATGCTATTTTTCCTTACAATATGATGACACTAAATAATACAAATTTTCAAATGCACATTTTGCTGTAGATACCAAAACAATAACATTATTAAGATCAAAGCTGGCACCATTCAAACAGTGGCTTAGATGGCTATATGGAAACTCTACAGTTGGGAATACTTTCTATACACACCAGAATTAAATGCATGTCTGGTTGTCAGTTGTTGACCAGTTTAACATTTCAAAGGCATGAGCAAAGTTCAAAATGATGGATTAATTGTGACATTCTTGATAGTTGCAATC